GGAATGACAGTACATTATTATTCTCTGCTTGTTCTCGGCTTTACTTTTCCAGTGACTATTCCAGCGACTATTTACAATGCTAACGTTCTGCACGCGTCGTGTCGCGATCGGTGACTCGAGGAATTGGACTCTTCCGCGATCTTCTCGCGCGTCTTCGGCGTAGAGAAATAATCCCCGCGGATCGCCCGGAAGGACGAAGGAAGAGCAACGCAAATCGTAGCCAGGCTGTGCTAAAAATCGTCCCGAGGTTTTCTTTCAAACGCCCTGTCGGTCGCTTTGCAACGCGAGAAAGTCGGAGGCACTGGCGAGTCTCGGATTGTTCTCAGATCGAGAAAATCTTACGGTATATAAGTTGCACGGGATTCCTCGAGGATACCGCCGTAATTATCCGAACAAAGAATAATGGTCTTTGCTTGACACTCTATTCCCCGTCGGCTAAAGCTGACCGCATTCGCGATCGATCCATCCGTTGATTTGGGAAAGTTCTCTCTTAAATTTCTTTTTTGAATAAAACTACCGTGGACATTAACGCTTTGCCGACCGTGATCGATCCCGTTTGTTTGGAAGGAATCGGAAGGACTCGATCGATCTTAAAGGAAACGGAAGGGCTCGATTGACGCGGCGAATCCCTTTCGCTTCCTTTACGAAGGATCAACCGCCGGTGCGGATGCGACATTTGTTGAACCTCGCGACGATTCGGCTCTGGGAAACAGCTAAAACTATACGTATAGTGTACAAGTGTTAGTTGTACAAAGTTCAATAATTATAGCTCATTTACGTACGAAATTTATGGTGTCGGGGCGCGGAAGAAAAACCGATGCGCCCCGCTACGCTCTGCTTCTAACTTATAGAAAAATGATGAAAAAGTTCGTAGTTTTTTCTTTCTTTCCTTATCTCTCTTTTTTTAGAAACGTTTCAGTATGACAAACATGGTCCATCGTATATATATTTATATGTAAGTGCTAAGAGCCAAAGATCCAGCGGACTTGTATCCACGACACGGTAGTCATTTGCGAATCTTACAATGTAATTATCAACATCGCGTGCGATTATACATTTCATTTATAAACAATATTATGTGCAATAGCAGTAGCATATCATTAAGTTAGAAATATTTCAACTTGTGCGCACCGCCCCTTACGGCGGAAAAAATGGATTTGTTCAGCCAGAAGTTCTTGCATTTCTCAAAAATAATAAACCGATACATTTAGGGTACCAATAAGTTTGTCGCTGAATAAATTCTAATGTATCGTTACGTTAATCGGCCCGAAAAAAAAAGTTAAAATGAATACAAGCGCCATAGCTTTGTCGCCGTACAATTTAATTGAAGTCTTATTCGAGATACGAGAGTGATTTTATTTATAAAAGACTTTCAATTATCGATAAAACTGTGCCCTTTATATAGTATATCGCGTTTATTGATTTAGCATAAAAAAGAAACTATACCTAATATATGTATATATGTATATGTATATATATGTACGTGTATAAATCCTCTTTATATAAACGTGCTTGCAAAACCATCCAATCGAGACGAGTTCTAAAATCGTGAATACAAGTCCCCGGATCCGTTTAACGCGAATTTCTCCATAAGTAATAATAATAATTTGTCGATTAATGAAATGCGAGTGCACGAGAGAATCAGGTGATGCGGGCAGATTTAAAAAAAAAATTATATTTGTGTATCGACACTGCGCCCCCTTGCTCTTCCCAGTGTTTCACTACCGCACGACACCTGCGTCGTCCTGCAAGTCGTAGGCAAGTCCTGCGAATTTCTAACGTGACTCTCGAGCGTTCTTGACTGCCCTTTGCTTTCGGTCCCCGCGAATTTTGCTTCCGCGCGTATATCTTGCCGATTCTCTTCCACCTAGCCCAACTCGGTTTCTTTCGGAGGTGCACTCAGTTTCTTATTTTCAAATCCATGGGTCCTGCGAACTATTCGAATTCGTAACGAGCGACTCGACTGTCCAACACGGTCAGTCAATAGCGCGAGGTCGGAACATAATACTCTCCGTTTCCAATCTACTGTTCTTTTTGTTTTATTCCGGTATTGAAGGAAGAGATACGAAGGGGAGAAAAATGACAAGTAAAATGTGGGGAACGCGTTTTGTGTGGGGAAAGTCGAGAGCACGATATACTGCGTCCGTTTGCCGTCCCTGTTCCTTTGCTTAGCTCAATTTGACCAAGGGGTTATCCTGCGCGAGCGATACGAGATCTCTCGATCTCTCGAAGGACCTCGCGTTACATCCAGTCTATGGCGCGCGCGTTACAGAGGGATATCTCCGAGAAATTATTACATTACCGTTTATCGCGGGCACGGGACGCGCGAAGATCCCGACGAGTAATATCCCCCTTCGACGAGTTCCCGCAATCCCGCCGATCCTCCGGCCCCGCGTTTGTCACGTTTTCCCTTCATCGAAGGAGAGACACGAAAAATTGCATACCTTATCAGGAATTATTTTTACCGATAATCGCAAATTTATACAGGCGGACATCTATGTGATAATAAAAAGTTTTTTTTTTCAATATCTTTAGATATTCTTTTCAGACGACGTTTTCTTTTTCGATAAGATACAGAAATCTGGAGGCTGCTTTAGATACTTAGTGTTTCGGATATATCTAATACTCCGCGGTAACGCGCCGTCTCGGGATTTCCGTAGATCTCTGCAGGGACCAAACGTGACTCTCGCCCCGCTATCGGAGGATTTTAATTTCGGATCGTGGATCCGCGCTAGGCGGAAGAAACTACCTTAAATTAAATCACTGGCCATATCCTGGACTCCTTGCGATCGACACGTATCGCGGCTCGTTAAGTCTCGATTAATATGTATATATATATAATGTGTATGTATATAATGTATATAATATATATATGTACGTAGGTATAGGTATAACAACAGTCAATTATATAAAATTGCGGCAGTGTGCTTTCACGTATATTAGTTAATGTTAATCATGCTCTCTCATTCTCTCTCTCTCTCTCTCTCTCTCTCTCTCTCTCTCTCTCTCTCTCTCTCTCTCTCGTATAATCGATTTATTATTAAAATCAGGACGGCGAGGAACACTGGATACCATCTTTGCGTTTATGTCTGTCCTTCAGGTTGTATTAAGTCGATCGTATTGGTAAGCCAGGACCTCTCACGTGGGCCTGGAGCTTATGCTTCATACAGTGTAGAAATTCTAAAGCGCAAGCGGTATCGTTAAAGATTTCTCATCGCGGACACAAGCAGTTAATCACATTTACGAAATAATACGTATGGTACACCGTAATTTCCGCTTTGATGACTCATTGCATCACACGATAACTGTAGATGGCAATACGGTTTGTGGTTTGCTTCATTTAGAGTCACTATTCAATTCCTCTACGCGCGAATAGGAAGTAATAGGAACTACATGGCGTCTCAATCTGACGATTCGTCCTAATTTAAAAGCGCACCCGGGATATCTGCGGTAATGACGGACAATTAAAAAGGTCGCAGAGTATCGTGAACGCAATTAATGAAGTTTTACGCAACGCGGGCGCAAATTAAAACTTATTGTATATACAAACAGAGCACGTGAAAATGGGAAATGCGAATTCAATCTCCTTTGCGAACGGTAATAAATAGCAATCGTGATAAGCGTGTATCTCTATTCGGTTCTCGTAAGCAATGATTTTCGCAGCGAAAACGTAACGTTCCGCAATTTAAAGGGTGATTTGCCTCGAAAACGAAAGGATCGCGCGATCGACTTTTACTCACTTTCCCGAACGTAGAGGTATCTTCGTCCCTTTGACAAAAATCCGCGTTGCTACATCCGCGGGAAAAAACGAAATAGGACACCTCGGTACCCGGCATTCGCTCGCACGCACGCACGCACGCACGCACGCAAACACATCGGACGACATTCACGCAATCTGGGGCTGGTAATACAGCTAGGAAATACAGCTTGCGTATGGCGACTCGTATATGTATACGTATATATGTACACGTTACACTCAGCTATACAATTAGTCTCGGTTTCGCGGCTACTTCAATTAAAACTTTACTCTCGCCCTTTCGCCCCTCGCCCCGCCGACCCGCCCCTCGCCCTCCAAACCCTTGAGTACTCTCGCGCGCGGTAACGCTAACTGTGCGGAAAGAAGTGATTACGCGGATGTGTATAATATCTATTTATACGTGCGTGTTTATACAGATTGCAGTGCTTCTATCTCTTTCCTCCTCATCGTCGCGAGCCAAGCCACGAGCGAGATCGCGCGATTAGCGGCGTGTCGCAGCGATAACCAAGCCCGCGATCGGCGCCTCGTGGCTTCGCTCCGGATCGTAGTGCGTGATTTCATCGTCGCACGATCGTTCCCAACAATCGCGGCGACGACGGCTACGCCCACGTTTAATTCTCCCGCTTTCTCCCCTAATATCGTTCGTTAATTTTACATTAGTCCATTCGCGCGTCTCTTCCTCTCCTCTCTCTCTCTCTCTCTCTCTCTTTCTCTCTCGCGCTCTCATTTGCTCACTTTCGCACTCTTCCTCTCTCGTTCGATCATCGTTTTACTGCTTTTAGACGTATAATAATACTGGCTATTTTTTATCGCTTTTTTACGTTCCCGTTTTTAAAAGTATAGTTAATTAACCGTAGCATTTCTCTCTCTCTCGCTCTCTCTCTCTCTGTTTACTCATAATTATTATCGTTTTCGGTCAGTTCCTCCCGCGGCGGCTTCTCCCCTGCCCCATCTCCCCCTGCCCCGACCATCCGCGACCCAATCTCGGACAATCGATCGCCCGGTATTGATACAATAGCCAGTTGATTGCCCGATACTATATCTATACGCAAACATGTCCGAACGAATCCGCCTACGTGTCCTATTGTCGACATGTGGAAACACCGCCATGTCCCCGCGCTCTCCCCTCCCCCGGCGTATGTATAACATCTTTATGTATATTATGTATATCGTCTATAGTTTAGCTGTTTGTTTGTTTGTTTGTCGGTTTGTTTGTTCATGTATCCTTTTTTGGTTTCTGTATACGAGAGCTAGCTAACGCTACAAGTAATAGTTTTTTATCAAAAGCACACACGTAATATCGTGACTAGTCTACGTATGTATATATAATATGTATATATAGTATATCGCATATAAACTGATTATTATATATGCCACGTGCGCCTCTCTTCGTTGACCGGCTCGCTCGCTCAAGTTCTGTGTGCTGTGTGTTGGTGTGGGTCGTGTTGACGATAGTAATGCCGACGATGACGACACGGAGGGACAACGTCCCTTACTCCTCCCCCCCCTCCTCCTCTTGCTCTTTCTCCATCCTACATCTTGGCGGCCCGAGGGCATCGAGAGCAGGGTGTGCGCGAGGGATCCGTCTGTGATCTGACATTCGCTTCGAGGGACCATTACTCGAAAGGCCATTACGTGTTCTCGAGGAAACTCTCGTGACGTGCGGAGGACTGGACGTGCTCCAAACTGTTTCAGTTGCCTTCCCGGCAGCGACTTTTCTTTTAGCAACGTAACGTAAACCATCTTCGACTCCTCGCGATACTTGTCTACGACTTCGGCCCGAATTGCGGTTGCTTCTAGCAGAATAGATATATACGTATATCGATCCCTGATTTATCTCCCTATAACGAGTAACCGGTCGTGGTACCGCGTCTCTTGGTTTGGTTGCTCGACCAACTCGGTGTAGCGCTACCTTTTTTTATGACTATATTTAATTATATACAGTCATAAAAGTACGTACGTATCGCATTTCATTTCGCGCGAAACTTAATTTCGCACGGAAGAGGCGATAAGTCGAGACGTAATGTCGAAGGGAGAAATTTACTATCGCTAGCTTTTACTTCATTACGTAGCAGCTCCAGCTTAATATATTATAGTAATATTGACCGAAACCACACTTTTCCGCCCGCCTTTTTTCCCTTTCTTGCGCTCTCGTCTCGTTTAACTTTAACAACTCCTTCTCGCAAGCAAGCATGCCCAAGATAATAAACTGGAATCAATCGACCGCCGGTAACTTTCGATTGGGGTGCGCGACGAAGATTCTTACGAATCGACATTCGATTACTAGCACCGTCCGGATCACTTTAACACGCTCGTCCTATCTCGTATTTCGAGCTAAAACCTTATCAGCCCTGGTAACCCGAGAATACTTACGGCTCTACGAAATTAAACATTTTAATGAAATTAACCAAGTCGCTTCCCGCAAATTGGATTTATTTTCCGAGCCGATCGGCCTAACTTGTTTATTGACTTTCCGTCCGTCAATATCACACGTACGAAGTGAATGAAGCAGCCCTTAGTTCGTCTACGTTGTTGAGGAATGGTCATCCCCGTGGCCTCTCCGTTACTCACTGCGCACACCCGCGCGACGACGACGACGGGTCGCAATTAGTGCGTCTTGGATATATGCTGGTGTCGATCGTCGTCGCTCGCTTCGACGTCACCCTCGACGCCCTTCTCGCCCTCCTCGGGATGTTGGGGATTACCCTCCTCGGTGTCGACGCTGCTCGTGGGCGTCATCTGCTCGACGCCGACCCCCGTGCCGGCGCCGATGCTCATGCCGCCCGACGTCGTGCTCGATGTCGTCGTCGTCGTCGTCGCCGTCTCGTCGTTTTTCTCGTATCCCAAATTGCCCAGGAGGCTCTTGTTAATTGGCTCTGGCGAGGCCTCTGACTCCTCGCTGCTAGGTGAACCGGGAGACGAGACTATCACCTGCGCGAACAGAAGGGACCCACCGTCAAGGTGCGTCGGTTAGTTGTGCTCGACACGCTGTATACAATTGAAATTCACCAAGTTTGATCAGACGTTCCGAATTTCTCGATGCAATCGAGTAGGAGAAATGAGAAAGACGGGAGCACACGCGCACACACCATGTATATGTATTTAAGATGAGAGCGTTTACAACTTGTTCACTATCAACAGTTGTACAATCGACATAATTTTCTTGTCTGTTTAAAGTAATACGTCTCTAAATAATTTCTCGAAATGTTCGAAACGTTTGATTAACCTCGTGGATGACACTGTATATATAGTCTCTGATACATATGTTACGGAAGGACAGTTTCCAACCGTAAGCTCGATAATCTTGCATGTAAGTCGACCTGTACCGACAAAAGTTCTTACAAATTGCGATTTACAATTGATGTTTTTACTTAGACCTTTTTAAAAAGATATTGCTCGATTCATATTGCGAAATCTAGAGGCTCGAAGAAAAATTTTAACAATTCTGCGAGACCGTTTTTAAGTCGGTTCTATAATTTCGCGGATACCAGAGAGTCGTGGAAGTGGAATGCAATTGTGAGCATACGCAAAAATATGTGCTACACCAACGTAGAAAAGTATTCACAAATACTCGGCATGTTGGAGACATTTAGATCGTATAAAACGTGATGGCATGAAGGTAGAATGAGAGTTACATGAATGATGAACGTTTCTCTGATATCTGAGTCGGGCCATGCATGTGACAACGAACTAAAGGCGGCGGATGTACACGATAATGAAAACGATAATGACGATGATACCTGTGCAAGAAGCGGCGTCTCTGTGCTGTCAGCGGTTTGGTAGAGCCGGCAATTTGCGCTTGCTCTGAAGAATACGTGCCCAAACGTAAAAAGATAAAGAAGACAACGTAAATTGTCATTATAATGGGAATGACGTCGAAACTATATACACAAAATGGAAATCATGTCGACCCATATGCCCGTAAACTGTAAACGATACAGAAATGACATCGAGACGTGCACGAAGGTATTTCGTATAAATTATACATATGGAATATACAGGGTGAGTCTTTCCATATCCGACAAAATTTTTGAGAAGGTAGAACGGATCGAGATGAATGGAAAAGTCCTGTACCATTTTGCAATTTTCGTAATAGTTAACGAGTAATTAATTATTAAAAATCGTTGTCTTAGGCCGGCCTACCGCCCAATTCGAGCGCGTGGCGAGATGTGCGCATAGCAATATCGATCGCCGGGCGGTCACATCTT